TTTTCAACATTCAGGCAATATGGGCTGAAATTTTTGTCATCTTCCAGATATTTTGCTATGGAGAACTGCTAGAAACCTATAAATATTATTGGTTATATGAGGTTAAGTGAATAAGTAAGTTACAAATGGATATAGAACATAAACAAATAAGAGTACTGATTTGAAAAATGCTTTTATTTCTCAACATAATCTCCCTGTATGTTGAGGCACTTGTCCTGTCGTTTCACAAGCACCTGAAAACCAGCAGCATAAAATTCTTTGGACTGCGGTTGAAACTAGTCGGTGACTTCACTTTGTACAGCTTCATCATCAGGAAAATGTTCAGCCGAAAGATGATGTTTAAGAGGGCTGAACAAATGGAAGTCGCTTGGAGCAAGGTCAGGGCTATATGAAGGATGCTCGAGGACTTTCCACTTGAAATTTCGCGTCTCATTTATCTTGTTGGCAGTAATGGGACGTGCATTGTCATGCAAGAGCAACACGCCTTTGGTGAGGTGAGGAGCCCTGGTCGCTTCCGTTGAATGTCCTTACGAAGTTTCCTGATGTTACAGTAGGAGTCGGCATTTACAGTTTGTCCTTGAGGCTGGAATGCGGTGAACAGTATGCCTTCATGATCCCAGTCACCGCCTGGTTCCGACAGCAGCTCAAAGAATTTTATGCTGCTGGTTTTCAGGGGCTTGTGAAACAATGGGGCAAGTGCCTCAATGTACAGGGAGATTATGTTGAGAAATAAAAGCATTTTTCAAATCAGTACTCTTATTTGAGTTCTATATCCATTTGTAACTTACTTATTGACTTACCTATGAATATAGAGAGATTTATTTTAAGATAGATTTAGTGTTCGTAGCTGAAATATATTTGAGATCAAGTTTCTGTACCATTTCCTTATCATTCAGTGTTATAACTGTGACACAGTCATAGTTGTTATATGCAGTGAGGACATAAGTACCTGTTTTTGAATTGCAACAAAATGTAGGTCTTTCAGTAATAAAGTTACACAAACAACAAGCATGACACTGTGAAACTCCTGATGGTGTGTTGGGATTTTGGCTCTGTAGTGACTACAGTCTATTGTGTGTATATGTTAATTCATTGCTATGCACTGCTTGTTGTTGTTTGTTAGTTGAGTGTATAATTCATCATAGGCTTTAGAGACACAATCTGAACTAATGTTTTAAGTCTGGCAGTGATGAATAATTGTAAAGAACACCTGCAAAGGAGTGGAGATTCAGCAACTATATTTATGCTATAGGACATTGTGCATTTGAGAGTAAATAGCCATGTTTTTTTGCCACATTAAGTCGATGATGATTGCATATATTTAATTGTATTCTATATATGTGTTGTCACAAGCAATCTCTATTGAAAACGTATATTTGAGTAATATTATATTTTCATATATTTATATATTTTTCTAAAAAATATACAGTAAATTCATTATCTAATGGAGGTTGTGTGATAAAACAGTATGTGTGACATGCTGTAAACATGCTGACATTCCAAAGTTTATTATTATAAATTTATATTAGTCACATTGTTTCAAGACTTGATGGTCACAATGTTTCATGACCAGAGACTGATTTAGGTATTCATGTGTGAGCCCAGGGTTAACATAGTTTCTGTCTAAGAAAAGGCCAGTCAGTTACTTTAGTTTTAATTCTTTAATAAATTATGTATAGTCAGGTTGTTGCTTGTAAAGATGTAATACAGTAATCCCTTCATTAACATGGGTTAGGTTCAGATTTAATGGTACATTATACTGTTCTTATACAGCACAGGTTTGAGTTATGATTATCCACAGTGTAGCATGTACTCTCACACAGATGTGCGTGCACCTGCCAGTGACATGCCCATGCTTGCGACTGAGCTTCACAGTGATGCCATGACTCACTATGAAAACATCTGCTTCAGATAATTTAATGCACCCTTTACAGATTTGAACTAACTTTCCTTTCCTTTATAAAGTACTGTATTCTTTTGTCTGGAAATGTGGCCTCAAAGCATGAATGTAGTGCTTCCAGGGCAAAAGGAGTTACTAAAGCAACGACTCTAGAACACAAAATCCTTGTGCTCGATAAACTGGAGTGTGGTGAAAGTGTAGCACATATCAGGAAGCTTTTCCATATCACTGAATTGTCTGTCAGAACTGTTAAAGTCAAGCACTCATGAGGGCTAGTGTTGAAGCAACCATGCCAGGGAGTCCAAAATTTACTTGGAAAAGCACTGGTCTATGTGTGGAGAAAGGTTATGGATGCCCCTAAAGATGAGCATATCCAGTAATTGTATAGTGCACCCACTAAGTTAATTTATACGTGTAGTACAGTGTAGACTGTACCATCTCTATCATTTCTATGTTACACCAATTAAAAATATTTTTGTATCTGTACAACATGTATAAATAAAAGCTGTTTCTTATAATATGTATGTGAATATTGTACTTGTTCAACCTTGAGCTTAGTATTCATGGCTTTCAGATATCAGTTCCCATTACCCCTTATTTCACATAAGATCAAGCCCTTACATGACATGGTTTTGAAATCCATGGTATAATTCAAAAACACAGGCCCTGTGTTGAAGAAGAGATTACTGTATATTAATTATCCACCTATGTATTGGGTTATGTTATAATGGAGGACAGGATAGTTTTTATCTTGATTGGCATATAATTTGATCATGTCATGACTATGAAGGGTTTCATTTAATAGTTGCAGTGTAGCATAACTTGAGATACTTGGCCTGCAAAACCAGGCGAAACCCAGTGACAATGTGTACATTTGAAAGATAGTTTGTTTCTGAAAATGTTGTTTTTGTGTGTGTGAATACTTACAGTGTATTACCTTCAACCACTTTCAAACTTTGTAGCATTTGACTTGCTCATCATCTTTTAGCTCCAAGTTAGGTAAATAAGTTTCACACCAATTAGGACCAGGTGAGGTACATAGACTTTGTAATAGTCTTACAGCTGCAGGCAGCTATATTGTTAGACTGTCGTTAGGTTCACAAGGCCTGTATCAAATGTATAAATTAGCTTTTGGGGCTTGCCCACACCATGTGCTGAAGATTATCCATTGTTTTGGCATACATTGCAATCACAATATTTAGTGTCACTAAGCAGGAGGAACTGGCTGCATATATAGTTCTTGCAGTGGGAGTTAGGGTGCAGGTGTGGTGCATGGTGCTGTCTAATGGAAAGGGGGCTTGTGGTTAAGAATAAGGGATGGGGGAGAACAGTCAAAGCCACATTGTTCCCAATTTATATCCATCTTCACAGTTGAAGATGTGGGGGTGTTTGGCCACATTGATAGCTTTCCTAATGGGATGGGGATGTTTCATGCAGTTTCAGTTTTGTTGAATTCATTGCTATGTTTGGTGTTAGTGGAGTGTTGGACTATGGCTGAATGTTGGTTCTGTAGCCTGGTATCTCTGGTACTGAATGTAATAATAAAAGACTCCTGTAAGCAGTTCTGAATGTACAGTACCATTTTCTGAGGAGTGAGTTTCAAGTTCTTAAAGCTTTAGAATTAATTATCATGTGCCTTTAGCATAAATCAGTCTCTTCATCTGTTCTATTTTTTTTATTAAAATCATATATTACATTTTGGAAAATATCCAGCCTTAATATGTGGTATGTAAAACAAGCCATAAAATAAGAAGAAACTGTGTATGTTAACATAATGATAAATAGGGTTTTTTAAAATGATAGAGCATATTAATATTTTTATGAATTAAAAGAGTTTTGTACAGTATATTTAAAACATTTACACACACTTATGCATTTTACAAATGGTAAATATTATGTTACAGTGTATATAAAAGCATATATTGTGCATATTTGGCGAAATGATAAAAAACAGAACCGGTTTTTCCTCAACTTTCATCACAATTGTGACCATACAGGAAGAAGCAAATGATAATGCAAGATAAGACTGGCATAGGCAGTTGCTCTCAGAAAGGCAGTGTCTAAGTGTATGATAGAGGATGTGTGACTTCATATTGTTTGGCTACATTCCCTGTCACCAAAAACTTATGAGGACTTAGTAGATTTTGTATATGGTGCATCACCTCCATATACTTGTCAATAGATTTTTTGCACCACCATAAACGACTTCATTTCTGCATTCCACACAATAATTTGCACTTATTGCTGAGGAACTGCCTTGGGGGTAGGGGGAAATTGCAACACCACAGAACATATAGAACAAGAGATCCCAAGTTACATCATGGAATTATTTAAATTTCTCTTCCTAATGCTACAAGTTGTATTCTATCCGTTGGCATAGTTTTCTCACAGTGATGGTCTGAAATGGGAGAGGCTTGGCAGGACACCTTGTCTGTTGCCTTAAGATCAATCATGTGCCCTTAATGTCAGATGGGCCATGATACAAAGTACATAGATTCAAGAGTATTTAAACAGTGAGAAAGGGATGTATTGAACATTGCAGTATATTTGTGGTATTTTGGTTTGTGTTCATCTGATCCAAGGTTCAGATCTTGATCTAGAGATCAGCTATCGTGTCTGATTTTTCTTGTCCCCACCCCCCAGCCACAGCCCCTTCAGTCAGATGCCAAGAAAGAAGTTCAAATTAGGCCATGATCACTTCCACACTTTTTCAGTTCATCTATTTTCTTATCCACAAAGAGAAAAAAATTGTTTGGTTAGGTGTTAATAAGACCTTATCCAGCTGGATAATCTCCTGATTATAATCAGGAGCTTTTCAGCTGTCAGGATACACAGTTTTGCCCAGATTCACTTTGTCATTTAGAATTTCTGATAGTAGGTGTAAGTTGGCAACATTGGGTACAGAAAGGTGGAGGGCATGAGGGAATGCAGGTGACAAAAGTACCACTGGAAGTGTACCGAATGATGTGTATACAGTAAACCCTTGCCAACCCAGAGTAATTGGGAGTCAGAAGTCATCCCCAAAAATCTTAGAACACAAATAAATGGAAAAATTAATTATATAAATAGTGCTTATGGAAATAAATAAAAAATATAGCCGTAGAGCATTTATTTAAAAACTATAAGACAGTACATTCATTCATTGATAGAAGACTCAGAAATTATATTTGTTTCTGAATGTAATAGTGCAGGTTTGCAGAAACTGAAGTTTTGTTTGAACAGACAAGTGATTCATCTGTTTTCCTAAATTCCATATATATGTTTTTAAGTATGTACTTAGCTGTGAACAGCATTTTCATACTTCGATCCAGATTAACTGTAATCAGATCAGTGACGGTTTACTGTAGTTGGGTGATATTAGTACTGCATATAATAGTGTAATTATTATACACCTGTACTCCATGGGTATTTACAATGAATACAGTATTATAAATATTGTCACATGTTGTGTATGAGGTTCTTACAGTGATGCTACATTTTAGAGGAATATGATGGTTTCCACCATACAGCTCTCTGCTAGCAGCCTGCTTTTTACTGCTTTATTGTGTGTCTTACTTTCTGACCCTGAAGATGGAGGCAGAATGTTCCTCTGAAATATCTGACTTATAGGGAATTGCATCACAATATTATAAATACTATGTTATCTACCTTGTATTTTTTAAAATCTCTTACTACATTTTTTTAAATGCTCTGTATAGAAAACAGGACTTATACTGTCACTGTAACAAATGAAGATCTACAAATTTTCACAAAAACAAGAGCTAAGCTGTACATTCTCATTTCAACAGAATCAGTCACTTCCAGGCACTTACTTGTACTGGTTACTGTAACATCAAGTCACTCATCACATATCTGGATTCTCAATTTTGTGACGTGCACAAAAGTTTTCACTTTCTGTCTTCCAGTAATCCTTGTTTCTTAAGCAGGTATTGACAGAACTCATGATATCCTTCATCTTCCAGCATTTCTGCTGCAGTTTGTTTGGCTTCTATTATAGCCTTCACTATTGCCCCTCTCTCTCCACTCTCAACTGCAGTGTATAAAGCTTGCATCTGTGCTGAGTCGAAGTTAATCTCAGAACCTGCAAACTGTACAATTAACTGTGCCTCTTGTTTCATTGTTGTTTTTTGATGTCTTTGACGAGTTGTTCCACTCCCTGTTGGGGATCTAGGAAATATAAAGCAGATAATAATTTTTGCCATCGGTCTGCAACAGAATATAAAACATGCAGAGTTGGTTAAAGTGGAGAATACAGATTGGATCCTGCATCACAGTCCAATATTCTTCGTTTCTGGTCTGATTTTATTTTATTATGGCATTCTGCAGAATTATTTATTTATATTTATAAATGTTCAGGCTCCAAGGTGGCTGCATACACACATAGGCAGATAACACAAATACATAGTCATAAAACCTTTCATGCTGTATTTCTATAGATTACAGTATACAAGTAGTTTGTTGAATCAGTTTTACAGACTGTCATATTAACCCATTCTGTGTGAGCTAAGACAGGCTAAAGACTGGACCACTGGCGTTTGAATCCAGTAGGACTAGGGATTTACCTCATCACCACTGATTCCAGACCACCTTACTATTCCCAGAAAATGTGGTACGAAACTGACTGCTCAGCTCTATCTCAGACTATGATACTGAGTGATTAATGTGTGGTGCTTATTTAAAGGAGAAATTTTGGCCATTCGTCAATCCATGTATTTCCTTTACCAATATCAAATTGTACTGACCTTCAATATTTTTCTCACCTTGCTTTTTTCTCAGGACTCCTTAGTCTCCATCCCTGCTTATGGTGCTCTGATTTCTCTGCTTGAATCAAGAATGTGTCACATTTCTCCCAGAATTCCAGTAGCCTCTGCCCGTGTTCCAACTCCCTTGATTCAAGATAGTCATGAAACTTCTGCCTGGCTGTTGAGCTGAACAGAACATTTGACAGTTTATCTGTCCATCGCCTGACATTCTCTGGGGAAGTATTACCTCCTTGTTCACAGCTTGAACATCCTGCCATGTGGAATTAACTGTCACTCAGCATTATTCATTTGGACAGTCTAAAAGAAAATAAAATCCATTGTTATGTGGAAAAAGTAAAATTAAGCATTCAAATATATGGATGTAGAATCCACACTAGGATGACCAGTGCCAGGTATGTGGAATTTCTCAGCCTCTGTATAAACTACATCCACACAAATTGCCCCTGATTTTAATTGTCTTCTGACTTAATTACTTATATGTTCATTGCTGTCCCTGACCCTAGCTTTCGAAAGAATTTGTGTTCCTCATGTTTCCAGTGCCATCTGTCAGGAAATATAATTTCTGATGCTCTGGCAGAATGTATGTATTGTCACGATTTATGGGGTTGTGAATGTAGATGGGGTATGGATTGGATGATTGGATTTATTGACCACTCTTAACATGCAACTCATAACTAAAATTAGTTATAGTGCTATCGCTAATCTACACGCTTGACAAATTCGTAGAACACACTAAATCTTCTCAATCTTCGCTAGTCATATACTGGCAATGGATTTATTACAGACTCACTGTAACTACAGCACACATACAGTTCTCTTTTCACAGCTGGACATCCAAGTCTGCTCTCAGTCAGTCACAGTCACAGTTACTTTATGACTGGCAGTTTACCGCCAATCAGTTCGTCTTGGCGCCAAGCCCATTGAGACACACGACCAGTATTTTTATAACTGAACACTTGCGGTTGTAGTCCATATGTAACATCCTATCTGGCAAGAGGATGGGTCTGTCATTTACAATTCCTGCTGGTCCTTGTCGGCGCCGTCATCGGTCGGAGTCCCATGGGACTCATGATCATATTTAACTGTCTCAGATTAGAGACTCCCCCAACCTAGAGGACCATGTCCCTGTACATATTTATATCCACCAGGAACAGGGTGGCCCAGTTATACCCCCAAGCACTGGGTTCCCTTTTCGTCACCTCCTATGACTCTCAAGGCAACAGTGGAAATGTTCGAACCTGCCTCTACACAGAGTATATGTTCATTGCTATGCAACGACTCGGTAAACACGTTCCCATGGCAACGAATACTCAAGCAACAATGAAAGGATTGTTATGAAACGATGTTTCCTGTTGGGTCTGCCGGAGGCTATACAACGAGGATCCCAGAATAACTCTCAGTTCAAATCATGATAACAAAAATGTTCACAATATTGGGCAAGGAGAAGCCTGACATAGAAAGTATAAAAGGCTTAAACTTGGGGGCGGTCAGGCATACGACCGTTCAAGTGACTAGACTGCCGTTGTAGCAGAAGCTACTAGAAATAGGGCATAATCTGCTGTACTGAGCCTGGACTGACAGAGGCCTTGTATATATTTTATGTACATTTATTAACACGTTAACATTAAAAATGTAAATATCCTTTATATTATGACAAATGACTTACAACTACAGACTATGATTCTGACAAAGGACAGACCCGTCCTCTCGTCAGAGAGGGCGCCCACCAAAAGCAAACCCGAAATTGACATAAAGTTGACGGCCTGCCAAGAGACGGAGGCGCATCTAGGAGAACAGCCATCCTCACTGGATAGGAAACCTGAGGCGGCACAGAAAGAAGAGGTCCCCATAGAAGACGCCGAAGTAATGCCTGTCGGAGAACCGAAGATGGAAAGGCGCTAGGACCGAAAAGCGGTCGCGGAGCGCCGCCGCCAGATGAATTAACGGACCCAGAGTCAGGATGGGTGCCGAAAAAGACTGGCCATCGCCAGTTGTCTACAGTGTCTCCGCAAGCAACTTTATGACGAGTCTCAACCATTGCGGGGTGCCCGTAGCAGCGTAGAGAAACCAGAAGTGGGCACTGTTGCGCCACGGTCTCGTACCAGCAAGTGGCGGGAAGACCAGGAGGGACGACGACGTCAGCAAGTGCAGACCATACCTCAAGTGCCGTTACGTCGAAGAGGGAACTTCTCAAGAAAGGCATGATCAAGGATTGGACCTTGTGGAGGGGTTGACCCCCTCCAAAACGAAAAAAGGGAAACGGCCCGTATGGGAGGAACTGGTAACACAGAAGCACCGGCCTCCCCATCGAGTGAATGAGCGGCGAATGAATGTGAGACAACGGAATCAACAACCGCTGGACCTTGGAAGTGCTCGGGGCGAGCACTCTGGGGCCGGATGGAAGCACTGCCAAGGACAAGTGAGAGGTTGCAGCCGCAGTAGAAGCAATGAAGTAAAGGTAGTAGTCGTGATACTACAAGTGATAGTAATTGTATTCCTGACTCTAAGTAAGTGTGGATGAATGAGTTCAATAAATAATCGTTGAATCCGAAGGCTACGAGAAGTTATTTGTCACGTGACATACTCAACACATGACAATATTTTAGGTCTCTTGTGTTATTTATTTGTGTGAAATTAAATAAGATTGTGTGACCAGTGCCTGCGTGTGTTTATTTAAAATGGTAAGTCGGCTATACAATTGAATATGAAGATTTTCTGAGAAGTAGTGGATCTGGATTGAGGTCCATTCAGCCTCGTGAGGTTAATTGAGGGGCTATTTTAATTGAAAAGTATCGGCTTCGGTCTAGGTAGCACAAAATCAGCTGAAAGTTGCTTCAAAGAAGGTATTATCCAACACAAGTAAACTCTAAAATACAAACATTTAAATAAGAATACAATTTTTTCTCTCTTTCCTCCAACACTGGCGCTTGAAAAGGGGGGGGGGGTATTATTGGTCGTGGCCCCCACCCGATTAGCCAGTCATGGCACACTAGGTTTTCCCTAAGAGCGCAGGATCATCATCATCTTTGTTACTTGTCAACCAATTCACGGATTTAATGTGTCACTAACTGAAGGAAAGATATGTGAATTTGCAGGTATTTCTTAGCCTGTTTTGTAACATTTTCTTAAATGTAGATTGTATTTAGCGACGTTTGTTAGATATGAACTGAGAAAGTTGTAGAAAGTAGCACTTGTAGTCTATTCCAGTATTTGACTGAAGGGGCTGAGAAAATCCCCAGATCACTGAGGACAGCAGACATCTAGGCTGATAACTGAGCCCATCATATTCTAAAGATGAGACATGAATACTTACCACTATTTTTTTTTATTGCTAGTGGGGTGGGACTAAGTCCCTTGTACTGCGGCCACTTCTGGCCTATTGTACCAGCCCCAGATGATAAGTGAGGGTGATTATGGAGAATTTGGTGGCATGAAGATTGGCGGGGGAAACCGAAATATTCGGAAAAACCTGCCCCAGCGCCACTTTCTCCACCACAAATCCCACTTGACCAAACCCGGGCTGCAGCGGTGGGAAGCCAGCGACTAACCGCTTGAGCCATGGCGCGGCCCTATACCTACCACTAAATCAGTGATCAGTTGGTAGTTGACTGAATGTGGAGCAATCAATGCAGTGAGAACAGAGCTCTTTTAATTTCAAAGTGAGAGCACAGTGCTTTGTAGCACAATACCCTCTTGTCATTATAGTATTATAATTCATGAAGGAAAAAAAGAATAACTTTTTAATTTGGTGTCTTGTTTTACCTGGGAGTCAGAAGTAGTGGAAATGATACAGTTACCATAACCAAAGAAAGAAGACAGTTTTATGAAGAGATGACATGTAATTTATTTCCACAAAAATAAACACTGCATTCAATAATCATAAATTAAGCTAACATTAACTACCAGTACATTTTGTTTGTTCAGACAGTTTAATCAGGCATATGATGGCACAAATATATTATTTACAATTATAAGCATGAGATCAAACACATTCATAATATAAACTAAAGTTTACTAAATGAGGTAGTTCACAAACTCTCAATTTAAAGAAAAGAAAATGTACACACAGAACCTTAAAAAGTGGGGAATCAATCTTTGCACTATTTGCAGTCCCTGGTTCTGGTTCTAGAGTACCTCTTATATAACCCCAAGCATTTTTTGCTCAATCCTTAGATCGACAGTTATTACATTTACAGAGAATTTTCGGTGTCATTATTTTTATTCATATGTCATTAAATCTAGGAATTCTGAAGCACATGTGTTTCTGTTATATATGACCACGTACATGTGACTTATTATTAAAGGAATTTGATATACTGTATGTAGTGTCACCACAAAATGAGAGCAATGTTATACTTGTTTGCACATGTCCAATAACATTAGGGGCTGGAGAACTGGACAAATTTTGTACTGCTAATTATGAAACGTGAATTTTTGACACTATGCTAGCTATATAAAACTTCTAAACTGGGTCTGTAAGCAACTACCTGCTCTTCCAGGAAGTTTTTATCAGTAAACTTCTTAAACAGATATATATAAGTGCAAAGTAAAAGATTTCAGTGAATGCCTGTCTTCTCATGTTTTGATATTTTAAGGTTTAAAACTCTAATTGTTGGTATATTAAGCCACTATGTTTCAATACTCATTACTTGGTGTACATTTCAGACAGTGAAGTACCTTTTCTTAATTCTGGGACTGAAGAAGTTGGGAATTATGGAGCAAAAATTGTTTAAGCATTTCATATACAGCTGAAACCGTGCTCCAAAACTGACAGCCAGATCTTCCTTTTCCAAGATCTGCGAATGTGCATTCCTTTTTGATGAGCAGGGTGGGAGAATTGCTCAGAATGTGGTAACTGTCAAACATGAAATTGGATTTTAACCCTTACTGCTTATTATTTTCACATGATTTTCCTAAAATAATGTAACTTTAAGACAAAACAAGAGGAAAACAACAAAAATGCATTTTCATAGCCCAGTGAATGAAGTTCAGTGATACAGTGAGAGCATGATTATTTCTTGATGTGACTTTATTTGATCAAAGGCAATATTGCAACAGGTTTTATGTTCCTGTCTCTTGATTTTGCAAAATACACAGTTAGTTGCAAAGAAAAAGCATAGCAGAGTGTCTTTAAACTGCAAGTAGTTATCCACGCTACTCGTATTTGCTCTAGGCCTGAGACTGCTGAGGCTGCAGGTGTTTCTGTGCAGGCCTTGTAGGCCTTGCATATGCATGCAACCACTGTGTGCATTCAGATGACACAGTGCTCTGTCAAAGAGGTATATGTATATCCCTGATTTCTGAGAGTAGCATAATTTGTTTCCTGTTGATCACATGGTAGAAGAGGCACAGATTGGAGTATAATATTAAAATGGATCTTCAAGAAAGAGTGTGAAGGCAGGAAAGGGTTGGGGTGACTCAGAATTAGGGTCCAAAGCAGACTTCTATGAAAATAATACTGAATCTTCTTATTCATTAAAAGAAGGAAATTTCTTGACGAGATGAATAACTACTGTCTTTTCCAGGAACAACTTACCCAGAAATTTGTTAGTCAACTTAGACATGCAGTGTTTAGTTGAAAGTCGTGATATGAATACCATAATGAATATTCACGTTCTGTAACAATAAATAACTATCAAAACTATCAATAACTATTAACATTTTGAAAGAAAATTCTGCACCAAGGAGAAAGCGAATTAGTTTTACATATTCAGTATGTGCCTGTTTCACAGCTTTTGTTTGTGAATCCCAAAAATTAAATACTGTTGATTTTACATTCATGTTTACAACAAGCTGTAAAATTCTGAATTTGTCTGAGCACAGAATTGATTTCTGTACAGTGTGTTCAGAAAGGGCATAAATCACATTCTACAACACTGACTGAAGTACAAAATTAATGCTGTTAAAAAGAAGGTTCCCAGGAAAATCTTTCAACTTAAGAGAGATGGAATAAATAGGAAATGGGGGGATTACATGACAGGGAAGTCTGGAAATTATACCAGTCACCTAGGGGAGACCACATCGGGCTTGACATGTAACTTGAACAGTGGGTGATGGAGACAAACAAAATACAAATTCTGTTTGGGAAACCTTTTGGAAATGACTTGCTTGAAAGAACAGCAGGATGGGAGGATTACATTAGAATGGATCCTAGGAAGTAGTATGAGGATAGGAGATGGATGCAACTGGCTCAGTATCATGTTCAGGTGGAACTTTGGCATAAGTGGTTTTGAATCTTCATGCTCTGCTACCAGATAGTACTTGGTTCAATCCATGAACATAATTTCATAGGTTTTTAAATACCTTCAGATTTGGTAAACAAATATGTCTTGTTTTAGAGTGCTGTATGCAGATATCCATTACAATATGTATGACTGTGTGAAATTATAAATTAATTTAAATACCATACCCTTATTCCATGTATAATTAAGTAACATACCAGGAACATATACCTTTATTATACATTCACCCAGGGCTTCAGAAATATGTTTGTTTACATAACAGAGGTAAGTGAACATATAGCAAAATTGGGTATATTTTTAGTTTCATTCTGATAGTAGTAAATAATCAAGTGATATACATATGCATATTAATGACTGTTAATTTTATTATACAATAAATAGATAAATGTTAACCAAAAGCTAAATGGTGAATTTTTAAAATGTTCCTGTAAAAATATTTGTATAAAAGAATACTATAAAATTCTGGGCAGATATATTTTAAGTGGCTTGAAGCTTTAAGTTGTATTTCTGGAGCCCTGTTTTAACAGTTCATAATAGCATTTTTATATTCATATATAATATAAAATATTTTTAGTTTCCATCTCTCAGTAACCCTGCTTCTTTGAGGAGGTATCGGCAGAATTCTGGATATCCTTTGTCTTTTAGCTTATCAGCTGAAATCTTTTTAGCATCTGAAACAGCTTCCACTATATTCTTAATATCTCCACTCGCGATTGCATAATTTAGAGGGTTCATCTCTGCATCGAAGCTAATATTTTCTTTTGCAAACTGCACAATCTCTTGAGCCATTTTTAAATTCTCTGGGTTGTCAGCTGCTCTAGTACTAGAAGAACAAGACAAAATAATAATAGCAGTTGCAGTTTTTCATTATCCAGTGAAAGCTGATTTCCATTACTTCATTTAAAAGACATGTCTCTTCAGAAACCAGAAACATTTTGAATAAAGTGTGTATGCATTTGCATAGTTGTGTGCTCTTTGCAAGAACTGTGTGAAATTAACACATACAGGGAAGGACATATCCATTTTCCTGCTTGCGAGTTTCAACAGTGAAACTATTCAATGGAATTTAATGAAATGTGGCTTCTGATATCTACACCAAGCCTGGACAAATATTTTGGTTTCTGACTGGTTGAATATATCCCATATTTCACAAGAAGCTCACATTGCATTATAACGTATTAATTTTCTCAAAAATATATCATCATAAAACCTTTGGTGTGTGACATAACATATATCACACCAAGATCTACAACTTTGAACATAAACATTTTTCAGCATGGGAGATATTTAACAAAATACAATGAAAATGAATCTTATACCCTGCAGTGTGATTGGCTTTGCAACATCGTATTTATTTTTGCAACAAATGAACATAAATACCAATAACGTGTAAACAACAGAGAACATATATGGTAAATATGTATAGTATACTGGTGAACACTTCTTTCCATCAGGCAAATTAATTGACAAAACCAGAAGAGTTGGACTTAGGAACGATGAAGTGAAGAACAGAAGAAAGATACATAAATTATAAATTGATTTAGGAATAAATCGTGCTTGGACTCTGTGAAGGGAGCATATAGATTGGCTGTAGATAACAATAAAACTGGAAACAAATGTAAAGATGTCTGCAGGAACGAAGTTTTTGTGTACATCTGATGGACCTTGTTAGAACAGGCACAAGAAATGTACAGAAGTTATGGACTTGAAAGTATGAACAGATATAAAAAGATTTAAACTTCTGTCTCACATTTGTCTTTCACATGACGATATGGGAAGACAGCACATTTTTGTGCAAATCTGTAAGATGGGTCATTAGCTGTCACTGAACAAAACTATTTCACATTACTATTATATTATCATTTTTCATTCTATATATATGGTACTGATTACTGATGAATGAATGAATATATGGTACATTAAATTTACAGCTTTTTCAGTTTAAGAGATCCATTTTGATAGAAATTTGCAAGATACTGCATAGAATTTCTAGCACAGTGCTGATCATATCACAACATTTTATGGGTGCCCCATGCCAGAATCACCAACAGTAGATATTATAAGCTAAACTGTTTTCCATCTAAGCTGAAAGAAAATTTGCAAATTTAATGAAAAGTTATTGGAGTAAGAGGGGTTTCTTGCATGCAAGTACACATATACAGACCCCCCCCCCCCAGAAACCATTCTAAAAATTGAAACTCTCATAATGTGTGGAAATTCCAACCAAATTATATCACAACAGGATGGCCAAGTATTCCTGTCACCTCTTGGTCTAATATGCTAAAGAAAAGGTAAAGTCCCATTACAGGCCATGGAGGTCCATAAAGTTGTGAGATGTCGAGGCTTCCACATGTTCTAGATAATCGGCTCATAGATGGCAGTGAGATTGTCATCCTTATGCACCGGCCACACTTTACCCGCCAGGAAGATTACTGGTATTCATTTCTGTTAGAGGCTGAGTTGACTGCAGGGCCATAGTGCGGCTGGAAGGATTAGCTAAATTGAAAAAATCCAAATGACCTCATGAGGAACCGAACATGCATCCTTCCCGCTTGTAGCATAGTGCCTCAATCAACTATACTACCGCATGCTCAGGTCTGCTATGCTAAGTTAGCATATTTTTTTTCTATTTTACCACTGGAAAGACAGTAGAAATTAATAAAGTAGGAATCTCATTTCACAGTCCACCAAACATGATCATATGAAGGATATCAGATATTCCTGTGCTTGAGCATAATGCCATGAGGATGTCTGTGGTGTTTGGAGGTGACACTCCACATGTTTTGTTCCTATCACTCAATGGTAGCTTACAGTTAGTTTGCTCTTCAGGTGTTTTACCCCCAAGGAACTCCCTGGCACCTGTCAGATAGGAGTCTGGGTGAGGTCCAGAGACAGTCTGGACATGACAGGGAAGAGTTAAGTCCTGCCTACCTGGGGAAAGAAACCTAAGTTGCCCAGCCTGTAACCAAACACTTAACTGAACTTTCCCATTAAGAAGAATGTGTGAAGTTATGTGATGCACACCTTGATCAGAGGCACAATACATGTGAGAATAGATTTTAATACAGCAAACCCTCATTAGTACAATTACAGTTAATCAGGATTGAAACATGAAAAAATAAAAATGCTGTTCACAGACGAGTACATACTTTAAATGCCGATTTTTTTTAATGTTGGTAGGGTGAGCTGGGCGGAGATTATTCAAATGCTTCTTGCTGTTGAGCATTTAAATAATTTTGTGCATGTTATTAAAAATGCTGTATCTAACACATTTTTTTTTTATTTTAAATGAATGGTATTAACTTTGTTATACTCAGCAAAGAACATACTGTCTCATAACATAAAATTCGAAGATGTTCAGATAAAAATTTATACTTTTTTTTTTATAAAGTGGTTCTGCATTATAAAAGTATTCCTGCTGGCCGCGCTATGGCCCTCGGGTCTTCTCAGCCTCTAACAGAAATGAATACCAGGAATCTTACTGGTGGTAAAGGGCGCCCGGTACGTAAGGCCAATAACATCACCGCCATCTGTGAACCATTTCTCTAGATAATATGGGAGCCTCGAAGTTTCACAAAACTATGAACCTCCATGGCCTGTTACAGGGATAGCTTTACCTTTTACCTAGTGTCATAAAGAACCTGGAAACGCGAGCAATCATCGTCGCTTTCAGCTTGTAAAATTCACATCTTTGCTACACTCTTCAGATATTCGACTATGTTGAGTAGGTGAATAGGAAAACGAAAGCATGGGAATTCAGAAGAGACTGGAGAGAAATTTCTTTGCTTTGTACGTCAGTGCCATGCCCTTCCATTGCAGCTGCAACAGAATAATGCCCTTCCTATGCTTACATCATAGCTGAGATACAGTGTGCAGTCAGTATTCTGTGAGTTCATAGTGAATTCGAATATCTAAGTGGCATTCGTCACAAACTGTGGACCTTTAACTAACTTTTGGAATATATCCGCCATTTAATATAAATTAATTATCCCAAATATATATTTTAAATTGGTTACACAAAATATGTATATGGAATTATACATTATTATATTATTATACGTTCCACCCTTGACAGATCTGGTCCACAGCTGAAAGCCCTTAAAAATAACTTTTGTGAAGAATAGTTAATTTTCATACTTAAAATAATAGTATTACTGAAAACAAGTAAGTGAACAATATGCTCTCTATACACGGTCACAACTTGAATGTGTGGCTTTGTTAAGCCCTGTCATTCATACACATATACTTCAATTGTTTACTTCCCAAACTATGAAAGAATATTAATAAAACAAAGTCAAATGTCACTTTTACAAAATTTGTGACCCATACTGGACATAACAGGAAATCTGAAACAAGATAAACACATTTTCCTACCTTGCATCTAGCAGAAATCTGGAACATATTTCCCAGAATTCCAGAAGTGCTTGCTCATTTTCTAACTCCCTCAATATAAGGTAATTTCTGAATCTGAGCCGTGCAGTAGGGCTGCCCAACACATTTGACAGATTCTCAGTCCATCTCCTGACATTTTCTGGGGAGCTATTTCCTCCCCCTACACGGCTCAAGCATTCCGCCATAATGAGAAGCTGATAATGCTCTATAATGCAGCACTCATAAATTGTGGATCTCTGAAATACTGTGGGAACCACCCACATTCAAGCAAACGTTACAGTGACAACTCAAGTATCATTGCCCAATGGGGATTCAGAAATTAATTCAACTGGGTGATTCTGTGTAGTGAACTGATTTTAAATTAAATTATTTTAAACAATCTTATGTAGGTTTTATATGAACTAGTGACTCATTGTGCCACTGACTTCTACCCTGTGGACTATGCAAGGTGCGACAATTTAATTCCCAGAATGACCACAGCATGTCGCTGGGGTGTTCAGTCAGGGAAATTCATGTGCCCAAGCACGTTTGAACATGTTCCAGCTTGCGTTTACATGAGCCACAGACCAGACGAGTCTTTCGTTCCCAAGCAGCAGAGGAAGTAATACTGTTGGCAGGAAAATGGAAACTGAAGCAGAGGATAAACATAAAGTCTTGTGTGAAGATAGGTAAAAGTGCTAGTGAAACATACCTCTGTTACAAGTGGTTTATGGTAAATATGCTATGAAGAAACCGGGTGCTTTTGAATGGCATAGACGGTTGAAGGATGGACGAGATGTGAAAGATGTTCAAAGAAGTGAGCAGTCAAAAACGCAAAGGACAGATGCAAATGTGGACAGAGTACGAATCTTGTGGGCTCAGATCGAAGTTTAGGTGTGGGACTAATAGCAGAAGAAATGAATATGAATAGGGAAAGTGTGACAGATTATTACAGAATCGATTCTTGACAGATGACCAGAAACAACATTGGCTTCACATTTCATCTGATCTTTTATATAATGCAGAGATATTTGATACGGCCACTGCAGGTGAGGAATCGTGGTGTTTTCAATGCGGCTAGGAAACAAAATGCCAGAGCACGCAGTGGAAAATACAGAATTCACCTCAGCCGAGAAAAGCATGTATGTCTCACTCAAGACCATGCTTCTATGTTTCTTTGACCACAAGGGAGACAGTTCACCATGAATTCATTGCATAAGGGCAAACGGTGAATCAGCAGTGTTATTTGGAAGTGCTGACAAAGCTAAGGGAATCTGTTCGGAGGAAAAGACCCGAACTGTGGCATGAGAAGTGGATTCTCCACCATAACAATGCTCCTGCACATGACGCGATAAGAGTTCGCGAGTTCCTGGCTAAGATATACATTCAAAATGGACCATCCACCTTATTCACCTGACTTAGCCCCTTGCGATTTTTGGCTTTTGTTTCAGT